GGGGGCTTCCTTCCTTCCTTCCACCTGTGGGAGAGTCTCCTAGGAGAAAGGATGGAAGTCCCATTGCTTGGAACATTTGAAACTTGACAGGACAGTATCCATTTACAGGTAAAACAAGGAACAATGCTGCCTTGGGCTGGGGAGGAGGTAAGTCTGATGTATTAATAGGCCTTTCCCCCCCTCTTTATATTCTACTTACCCACAGAAACACTTACTACTCTAGGAAAAAGGAAATGTTCTTGTTTCCCCACATGGCAGACAGGTTGAGCTGGGAGGTGCTCTCCTCTATCCGGGTGTCTTCGCACCATTTAACTGGGTTAAGCAAAGCTGTTCTTGGTGCTAAATTGCTTCCTCACTTCTGAAGGTGTGAAAGTCTTTTCTATCTCTCATCTGTCCACGCTTCACTCCTCTTGAAGAGGCAGCTGGAAGTGTCTTTTTGAATACATTTCTCTCCTTAGTGGCAAGATCTCAGGTACTCTGATACTTTTTTTCCACTGCAGTTTCTTCCTTTCTTCCTTCACATACAGTTACCCAGCAGTTGCCCATACACATCAATTGGAGGCTCCTGACTTTTCCTATTGGCCTGTGGTTGATTGGTCACATTGTTCTCCAGATCAGAGGTCAGGAGTCATGTGTTTGGCTTCCAAAATGAAAGGAAGATGGAGAGATGAGAAAGCAGAGTGAGTAGGAATGAGAAGGATGAGGCTGTATCCGGGAAGTAGGTTTATCCATTGGCTGAACAAGGATGAGGATAATACAATGCAGACATAAATGAATCATGCCAAGGGCTGCAGGGTCTGCACTGTGATGGTTGTCTCAGTGCCTGCCTTACCCTGTGCCATAGTCAGAATTGGAGAACATGAAAAGCACCTGGGGAGCTTCTCCCAAGGTTCCTCCAAATACCAGAGGCAAATAGCTGATCTGGTCTAGCTACTTCCCTGTGGCATCTCCCAGATATATTTCCAAGCTAATGGATAACTGTGATTCCTTCTTCACATGAGGGCTCTGTGTCTCTGGAAAAGGAAGGAGGGCAGGGAGAATGGGAGCTCAAAGAAGGGTAGAATTTCCCACCCTGCAAAATGATTCCATCAACATTTGTGGCCTCTTCCACAGGTTCACATGTTTACTGCAGACCCTGGCCCATGTTTTATATCTTGGTTGTTGTACTTCAAAGCTATTTAGATACAACAGATGGATTCCCCAGGTCTAGTGGTCAGAGCCTCAGAACCTGAAAGATAAGCAGCCTATCTTAAATGAAGGTAATCCAAGAAAAATAGGATCAGAAACCACGTATAATATCACTGGTATATGAAAGCATAGTCCGGGGGTGGGGGGGCATAAAAGGTAGGGAGGTACCCACCTTCCAGCAATTGTGGGGAAGAGGGGCCACTTGAAGGAGAGGAACAGAGATAACCTGTGTGGGCCAGTGGGCCCTCTGGAGGATTGCAAATGATGACTTTTCTCTTAGCAGGAGCAGTAGAAACATTCAAAACCTCTCCATCCCAGCATCCGACTCACTGAACAGTCCTGGAAAAACATTTGTCTTTCTTCCTGCCTGGTTCTGGGTCTCTGCTCTCTCAGGGCTGAGTCAGTTTACAAATAGCTAATGAGGCTTAGCTCCCCACCAAACTGATTTCATGATGGCTGGTGACAGCAGAAGCACCACAGTGCCACCATCCAGTAGCACCCAGCACTGTTCAGCGTGCAGCCAGACCAGTGCCCCACATACGCTCAGCTCTGTGTGGCTCCAACATGTGCTGGCCCCGCAATGGCCCTGCAGGAGGGAGGGGTGGGGGTCAGCCCCCCAATAATATTTTCTCCTACCTTCTATGTAGTCAGTCCCACCAGAATCAACATCAGGGGAGAAGCTAAGTCCAGACATGCTGACTCAGCATTGCAAGCGACACTTGGATAGCTAAGATGCAAGGAGAGAGGCATTCATCCTCCTCCTCCTCCTCTCTCTCTCTCTCTCTCATTCTTCACAGCCCTGTTATCACATACAGTGTTCCTGAAATACAGAGGAGGCATCTTTTTGTCACTTCCCCTATGACTCTTTCAGCCTTACAGGATGTGATGAGGCTGTAAGGCATAAGGGCACTTTGCGGATTCCTAGCAAAAAATTACTCCTTGGGAGATGGGAGGGACAACAGACAACTCTGCAAAGCAGAGGAAAGTGAGATTTCTCCAGCTGATGCTATCATAGTACAAATAATAAATAATGGTAAATTATTATTAATAGCGAAGAGGTCATGAAGCTAGTACTCATATATCATGAATAGAATAGTGGACTGAAGGATGGATACTGTCTCCCATAACATTCTCATTGACAAGGGAAGGAAGTACAGACTAGATGAAAGTACCATGAGGTGGATACATAACTGATTGGATCATTGTGCTCAATGTCTAGTCATCAATGAGTAGTTATCAATGGCTCAATGTCTAATTGGGAGGAGGTATAAAGTGAAGTTTGATAGGGGTCTGTCCTGGGTCTGGTATTGTTTAATATCTTTATTAATGATTTGGATGATGGATTCAAGTGCTTCTGTAGCACACTTCCAGCCCTGTTTTCCTATGAAGGATCCGCAGATGAATTAATGGATGGATGGATTCATAGATAGCTAGATTGTAGAAGCTACCAGATCCTGGCATGGCAAGATCGACACAACTGGTCATCGTTCCTTGGCAGATAAGCTGCTTTCCAGGCATTTCACTATGCATAAAATATTTCTGCCTTCACTTGCATAATTATGGGCTTGTCTGCTTTGTGTGTAACCTGCCAATAAGGATTCTGTGTGTCTTTTATGAGAACAGAGGTTTTCTTGGCCAAAATTCCTCCCAAACCTACTTGTAGTTATGCAGCATACTATTGCTGGCTGCTCACCCTAGAAGTAGATGCATGCCTAAGGTGCTGTACATACTTACTTTGTGAAATGCTTTTGGATGCTGTAGAAGTTTAACAGATTATTATTCTGGACTGGCTTCAGCAGAGTTACAGAATTTATAGCCCCAAACCCTTCACACCTGTGAGTGAATCAAGCCAGATGAGATCATCACAGCAAGGACACAACTACCATGATATCATCATCATGGTCAGGTTGAGAGAGCATTTTAACACCATGCCAAGAGTAAGTGCTAGTAAGTGGTGCTTGGCTCATCCTGGGACATCAGGTATCTCTTTATCCATTAGCCTAAACAGCAAGAAGGTAAGTCCTCTCCAGTGTACTTCAATCACAGATCTGGAGGGGCGCAGGCCACGCCTGCTTCCCGTGCCCCCCTGCCCCAGCTGGGCAAGCAGCAGCAGCACCAACATCCCACGCCCGACTCCCATCTCGCCTGGGCAAGCAGCGGGCTATGCCATGCTGCAGCTTGCCCAGCCAGGGCAGGGGGGTACGGGAGGCAGGTGCAGCAGCTCTAGGAGTGGGAGCTATGCCATGCTGCTGCTTGCCCCCTTCTGGCCGGAGCAAGCCATGCCTGCATTGCACTCCCCCCCTTTCCCTCCCCCCTCTGCCCACCACAACAGACTTACCAGCTGGAGGCATCTGTATCCAGTGTGGTGAGGACTGCTGCCTGTTTATTCTATTGCTGAATATCCAAAGTGGCACCAAATCTTTGGATTCGATTCGGCGGAATTGAATCGGGACAGTGATTCAAATCTCCAAATCGAATCACTGTCCCTCCAGATAGCCCAAATCTAAATCCGAAGCGAATACTTGCCACTCTGCACAGGCCTACCTTACACTGTCTCCAAGTGGTACTCCAATCACCTTCCTCTTCCCAATCTGCTATTCTGCTTTCTGCTCCATGTCTAACCTGCTGCTGTTTTCTGATTCCTGGCCTATCTGCTGCTCTTCTGCCTGTTCCCCACTCTGCCATCTGTCACTTGCCAAACTAGGGACAGGCATTACACATAAACCTGTTTAAGTGATCAGAAACTGGTTTAAACCTGTAACAGAACAGATGTTCAGTGCACATAAACCAGATTGAAAATGACTGAAACTGGTTTGAGTTAAAAGTGGTTGAATGTAGCATCAGAATTGACTGATTTGAGTGGGAGCTGGCGGGGCTTCCCAGTCACAGCATCCTGTGGGTCCTGGCCACACCCTGCCCTCAGCTCTCTGCAAAAGGGAAGGCAGAGGTGCTCTAGCGCCCCCCTGCTTCTAGCCTGAGCCACTGCAGGCATGTGCCTGCAGTTCTGGGATGTCTGTACGTTTACAAACTGATTCAACCTAGCCAGGTTAAACTAACCTGCAAAGTTTGAATGAATTCAGGCTCAGGCTTTTTGAATATCTGTCCCTAGCCTATAGAGGCTTCCCCTGCATGCCGCAGGTTAGCTTCCCCTGTGCTAGGCTACAGAAAGCAGTTAGCATTAGAGGGGTGGCACAATTTATATGACTGGGTAACTGGGCAAATGTTGAAGAAGCATCTGGTTTAGGATGCTTTACTTAGGCACAATGAGTATTTTTATTTGAAAGTGTACAGGGCATTTCTGTACAACACTTAGGGCAAGTAGAAAGAAGACACACAGGAGATGACCACACAGTTAATCCTTTCCCTTACCCAAGGAGTAACTATACTGTTGCTGTCCCCAGTGTACTGGGGAACAGCTGGACACTGGGAGCTGTACCTTGGTTATACTCAGTGAGGCTGACCTGAAGCCACCTTTTCATTCCTCTGCCCTGTGGCCATCAGAGCTAAAACTGATTTCTAGCCCTGACACACCCTGGTACAGATACACTGCCCTAATGCTTACTCTTGCACTTTGTTGCACTCTGATGTCATCATGATGGCCATTTTCACAGGTTAACATGGGTGTGGTCATACCTTGCGTGTTTCTACATGTCAGTGCAGGCTTTGTCCTTCACCAGGCTCATGCTTATGTGTAGATGCCAGCATGGTCCTGTGTAGGCTCATTCCTATAGATTGCTGCACGTTGAGTGCTCTCAGGCTTACTCTCACACACTGGTGTGCATGTGCTCACCTCCATGCTCTTTCACATACCGATGCAGGTGAGATCACGGCTGTACTCACTCTTGAATGCTCTTGTGAGTAGGGTCAATCACTTGGCTCATTCTCCCGCACTGCTGTGAGTGTGGCCACTCTGGTGCTCACTCCCAAATTTTCATGTGAGTGTGGTTACTTCCACACTCACTCTCACATTGTGCTGTAGGCACAGTCTTGTCCTAGTTCTCATTGAGCCCTGCTCCATATTCAAATAAAAGCTGGATAGAAACCAGCTATAAAGTTGTTACACATTTTCGAGCACTAACTTTATAGCTGGTTGGCTCTTTTTATAGCTGGATAGCCATTTTTATCATGTGATACTTACTTTGTATGTGTGTCTGGTCTAAATTTATTCTGCAAGTTACCAGTTAAAAGTGTAATACATGTAAGGTGTGGCAGGGACTGCTGGCACATCCTACTGCAGGCCTGGTCCATTCTTGTTCTCTCTTGCATACTGATAATTCCTCTAGTTCTAATTCCCCCTTTTCCCCCTTGCACAATGAGTGAAATCCATTTAACCATATGCCTTCTGCATCATCCTCTGCTTGCTCTTCCAGCTCTGGCATTTCTCAAGACTGCTGGTCTGTGGGGTCATTATGTTAATATGGAGAAATGCACCCTGTCTCCCTGAACCAGCATCAGAAGACAGGTGCAGACCTTGAAGAGGCCTGTGCATTATTAGCTTGCCTCTGCTTTTGAATAGCCCTTTTGAAAACTGCTGCATGGGAAAATGAATAGGAAAGCAGCCCTTTATCAATATGCAATCGACCTGTTACTCGAGTGCTGGTACATTATCAGTGGAAGTAGAGTGTGTACTACAGAGTCAATCTGGGCTTTACGGTGTGAAATCCACTTCTCCTGCAGCCTGTGCTAACTAGCAGGTTTTGCACTGCACAACCCTGTGTGTGGGAAGGAGGCGGGCCCTGGGCAAAACCCTGTTGGGTGTGCAAAATGTCAGAGAGGAGATGGTCAGCCCTAGCTGCCCTGGGGACTCAAGGTCCCCAGCTACTGTGGGGATGGAGTGGTCTGCCCAACTCCAGTTGCTATAGCAGTGTGGAGTCTCATCACCCGGCTGCTGCTGCTATAGCCACATTGCGGGGCAGTTGTGGCACCATGGATTCCCAGGGAGCTGCCATTTTGGCTTCCCCTCTAAGTAGGCACCCAGAGCTGGTGCCCTGCTTGCCCACCCCAAGGTATGCTACTGTCTGTGGCAGACAAGGCTGGTGTCCCTGGCAAGTTGATGAAATGTACCATAAATGATGCACAGACCTCTTGGTGGCCTTCTGCAAAGCAGTGAAAAATCTACCTGTAATTCTCTCAATGGAGACATAAGCAGATGAGTCAGGGAAAAAGCAAGTTGGGATAATTATAGGTTTGAATACTGTTCGAATGTGTGTGGAAGGGAGTGTATGTGTCTGACTGTAACAGTGTGCATGTGCAGTGGAACAGCTGATGATATCACCCTTCAATTCGGTTCCCCAAGCCAAAAGATTCCAATGGCATGAGACACAATGTTGCTAATGCCAAGGACCGGTACAGACATATCCTGGAACTGGGTATCTTTTTTTTGAGAACAGTAGGAGGGTAGATTGGAAAAGTCAGTGGAACTAAATTGAGAATGAAAATAAATTAACAGGGGGGAAAAAAGTGTATATCAAAATCCCTTGAAAAAAAATCACATGAAAATAAAGGCAAGCCTGCCAGCTTTTTCTAAAGCCAAAGAGTGATTGGGTATAACTAAGAGGGATACAACAGCATATTTAAGTTGCAACCCTTCCAGGCTTGTGACTATGCCAAGATAGTTCCAGCAGAAATTAGGGCAGTTTGAGGAGTGTGTTAATCAAGTACCATGTGCCAGTAGCCCCAGGGAGGTCCTTGTGGTAGCTGGGTATTTCCAGCATGTTGGAGTGTCGCTACACTCCTTTTTCCACTCTCACATTGAGGTCTGGGGATGGGGCTGGAGCCACTATAGGTGTTCTATATAGACTGTTGCTAAATTTTTTGATCAACATTTTTTTTTCAACCAAAAAAAAAGAGAGAGAGAGACAGAGAGAGCAAGCAACTTTAAAACACATCTTTAAAAAAAATCATCTTCTGATTTTTTTTTTAAATGAAAGGATTGAAAATGAAAAGAAAATCAATTCAAATAGAAGCTGAATAAATAATTCAGGCTTTGGGCGAATGAAAGCCTGTCACCTTTCACATCTTTCCATCAAAAACTGCAGAAGGCAGAGACGTGTCACTGATGCAACAAGTTGTTTTAAACTCACGTGGAAAATATTTTATTGTCCTCTTTTCTTTCCTCTCCTCCTTTCTTCTTAAAGGTTGAAAAAAATGAGGACGCGGACCAAAAGGTTGAGCAAGATGGCATCAAACCAGAAGATAAAGCTCATAAGGCAGCCACTAAAATCCAGGCCAGCTTCCGCGGACACATAACAAGGAAAAAGCTCAAGGGAGAGAAGAAGGGAGATGCCCAGGCTGCTGATGCTGAGACTGCCAACAAGAAGGATGATGCTCCCACTGATGGCATGGCAGAGAACAAAGAGAGTGACGCCCCCTCTGCCACAGAAGCTGCTCCCTCTGACAGTGCCCAGCCTGAGGAGGGCAGCAAAGATGGCAGCGCCCCTGTAGAGGAGAAGAAAGGGGAGGGAGCTACGGATGCCAGCTCAGAGCCGCCAGCCCCGAAGGCCACCACTCCTGCTGCTTCCTCAGAGGAGAAGCCCACTCCTGCTGCCACTGAAACGGAAAGTGCCACTAAAGCTTCCACTGATAACTCGCCGTCCTTGAAGGCTGATGAAGCCCAAGACAAAGAGGAGCCTAAACAAGCCGATGTGCCTGCTGCTGTCACCACTGCTGTCACCCCCACTGCTGCAGAGGATGCTACTGCCAAGGCAACAGCGGATCCCCCAACGGAGACGGTGGAGAGCAGCCAAACCGAAGAGAAGACAGGTGAGTGAACATGAGGGGGAAGGTGCTTCTTGCCACATGGAACCTGAAATGTCCTGTCCCACTTTGCCCACCTGGGCCTCTCTATGAATCTCTGTGTTTTCCAAGAATGAATGATAAAGGGGTTGGGGAAGAAATTGGTGAGTTGGGGAGATGACCCATCTAGTCATCTCCTTGTGTTCCAGGGGAAAATAAGAGAGATTTGCATGTTTATGCCCCCAAGGGACTTTTCTAAGCTGGCAGAAATATCACTTACATCCTTCACACCATGAATGGCTTGTTTCTCTGAGCGAAGAGACTGTCCGTTTGGAGCAGTGATGGGTGGACATCAAAAAGTTTGGAAGGGTAAATCTAGAAGAGCTCCCATCATTTTGTGTCTGTTCTAGACATATATCTGAAACTGTTTGAAACACGCTTGTAACTCAAATGTTTTTGGTGGTGGTGTAGCAGAGATGATGGCGGATCATGGAATCTGCAAGTAGGGCTGGAAATCTCATGAGAGAGAGTTTTCTTACATACTTTGGGAGACAATCTAGCATTTCCAATAGGCAGAACTAGGAGAAGCCTGGTTTCTCTCTGTCTCATGTCTATTCATTCATAACATTTCTGGTACAGTTTGCATCTAGGCTGCGATGGAAACACCAACAGATCAGTCAGACTTGCCATTTTATACAAAATGACTCTCCCAGCTCTCTTTTCAAACTGTTCTGCATCATCCTCTGGTCCCATTATTCCTTGACAACAATATCCAGAACTGTCAGCTGCCATTATACATATATCACTGGGGTCTTACCTGTGCAGTAAAAAGACCAGACGTGGGAAGACAGATGCAAACATCCTGGTGGCACTGTGGGTGGGGATGCTGAAAATCAATCAGGGGTCCAAAAATGTGCTTGCAATATTTCTTCAGTCTAAGTCTGTCCGTAACTTCACTTAAGTTATTGCTCATGGCAGATGTGTTTACAAACTACCAGGAGTTTTTAGCCACTAGGGGTGGCTATACAATACAACAGAATCACAAGGACCTGTATGTTCTGGGTCCTTAACTTCCTCTTGCAAAATTAAGGGGTTAAGGTGATGATCCAAATCCTCCTCTGACTCAGGTATTCCATGAGACTGGCAGAAGGTGAAGAACCAGGTCTGCAAAACTGGTTTCCCAGTTCATAGATCAGTTGATAGCCTAAAGGGGGATTTCTCCAGCATATTGGGGAAATAGCTGACAGTGTCTCAGGAGACCTGATAATCGAAGGTGAGTCAAACATCCTTCTGCAAATGGCTGAAGCCTTGCCACAGCTGAGGTTGCTGGCAGTGTATTCCCTCCAACTTCACTTGTTGCAATACCTCTCTCTTCCAAGAACCAACGGCCACCCTCTTGCTTTCACTAAACTTTCTAAACTTTACAGCTAGCATTGGACTCTCATATAGTGCCAATGCACCCTCTACTGATGTTCAGGCACTGGGTAGCAAGATTTGGTAAGAACTGCAGGGGGCTCCCAGGCAGAAGCTTTGTAAGGCAAGCTGTAGACACAGGGGTAAGTCCAGTGGTGGACATCTTTGAAGTGTAACAAGATTCAGAATGCAGATCTACGATGAGAATATATTGCAAAGGATTTTTTTTAACTTCATTTCCCTGGAACCTACAAAGAGACAGCTGCTGAATTCATACCTCCAACCTTGACTCATTAGGGCCTGAGTGCTTGTTGGCATGACACAATTCTGCTGTGCTGTCTAGGAACATGAAAGTATCATGTTTCATAGTTGATGTAGTTCTGCTGGAAAAATCAGCATGGACCCAGCTTCTGCCTTCAGTGTATCCTACAATCAGGGGAACTAGTATAAATCAGGTGGCAAAAAATTGTTTCTGCCAGCAGAGCTGTGTCCACAGAAGTGGGCTGGGCTACCTTAATTCTGTAGATGGTCAGAAACCCCAGCAATGTAAGCATTTCCTTCATCTCTATTGCTTTGCCCCTTTGGTTGTCATTTACACCTCTACGAAGTAAGAACAAACTGGGTGTAAAATGCTATCACTGGCAAGCTTGATCAGAGAATTCTGATCTGACAGCGTTTTATGTTTGCCCTGTCAGGTATAAATGCCAACACAAGATGCTACACGCTAGAGTGCCAGGCCCTACAGGATTTGTCTGCGAGGGGCTTCTGTTTTGCCTGGAATCATTATCCCTGATTAACAACCTAAATGGATGTTTTTATTCTAGAGCAATAATGCCTTATTCCATGGGAGGAATAGTCATTCTGTGTTAAATTCATTCCTTACCTTAATCCAAATGAACGTTCCTGTGTTGACAAGCACTTAAACCAGCTATTATCTGCCTCTTTAGTAGTAAGAACCTGCATACACCAGCTCCATTGTAATGATCAAAGCTAAGTAATTTGTTACAATGAATATTTTATTTACTTAATTGTACCTTGTTTTGTTCCGTCATTGCCAGAGAACACTTTACAACACTCCTGCATTTATTTAGCATTTAAAATTATTTGCAGATTTCTTCAGCAAATGTTTCTTGGTCTGCAGATCATAAGACTTTTGAGCTTTACTATACAGTACACATTTGCAGTACAAACTATAACTTATGTGAATCAGTAACCACTCCACCAAATAAAGCATTACACATATTCTTTCCAAAATTAGCTTCCAAAGATGATCTGACTATTCCAGGCCAACATTCGCTCTTTAGTCTTATACATTCAGTATTCAGGCTAGCAACACTCACTCTTGGACATTTGAAGAAAGCAAACATGAAAGACTTGTGGCTGTAGTCAACTGAAATCCCTTTTAGAATGTTAATGAATATCGATTAAAAATACCCTTTCCCACTCTTTGATCAGCTCATCCAATCACAAACTCAGAGAGCTGCAGAGAATCTCAGAACCACAGAAATCAGACAGGAACAAAAATACCCATTATTCCTTCCTGTACATCTCCCAAAGGATGTTGGATTGTTCTCTGCAATGTTCCATATGCTTTGCCCAGTCTTGTTTGAAATGGCTTCCGCTGCACAGAGGCTGCTACAATGGAACTGCATTGTTTAATAGATCTTGTAGCTAGGAAATGTTTCCTGATATGCAGCCTAAGTTTTCCTTATCTGCATGCTACTAATCCCTTGTGCTACTGTAAATAGTTCTACTTCTTCACTGGTGTCTACACCTTTCATAGACTGTTACAATGCCCCCCCTCCTGCCCCCTTCCATGATCATCTTTTAACTAGTATTGCTAGTTAAATGGTTTGGTCATCTATGAAAAAAGAGGCATTTCAGTGCTCCACCAACACAGAGACGGATCCTCTTGCAGCTTCATTGGTCTCTTTCTCCTTGAAGTCATCCCCCTGGCTTTCAGAGTCCGTCTCGTATTGTTTCTGTGATCGAACACTGGCATAGTGCTCTACAACATAAGGCTGCCAAAAATAAAACAAATTGGCTCCCAGCCAGTGTCATAGATTGGCTGATTGCCATGGCATGCTTGGCTGCTACTACTATGAGGAGTAAGTGCAGGCCATTCTACATTTCTGTGGTGGTGTTCATCTGGGTTGAATTTTACTATCCTGCCTCAGCCCCAAATCTACAGGTATGTTCCTAGAGCTGAGGCAGTTGGGGTGGGCACTTGACCTACACCTTTGGGAAATTTTGCTGCCACAACTGTGTGAAAGAGTGAAAATGCAAGAGACAGAATGTGTGAATGGATGAATAAACTAAATTGCCTTGCTTTTAGTGCTCAATATTAAACATTTCTACAGTAGGCAAAGGTGGGGACAGTCCCCCTTGTACCAGTATTCACCACTACTACATCTTTTAATCTCTGAATGACTCTATTTATCTAACCTTTTAGGTGACTGCATTGGAAGTTGGCTTTAATGAAGCAATCCAGTGTCCAGTAAAAATTCACCTGGACCTAGGGTCCCCTGTGTTTTTATTCCTGTAAGACACCTTCTAGATAACTCTGATTATGACTGTAAAGCCTTGAAGCAAAGAGGCTGGGTTCCCCGCAAGGATAAAGTAGGAAGTGAGCCAGCAGGGCAAATTCAGAGGTGGTGTGGGAAGGCTGTAAATCAGACACCCATGAAACTGTCTCAGATCACCTTTCTGCTCTTTTCACATTCCCTTCACCATGGGTAAGAAATCATGGGGGTTACTAGTGCTCAGGGGGTGGAGGAAGGCATAAGTTAGGACAGACTGTTGGATAGTTTAATCTGAGCTTCCTTAGGGAGTCAAGGGGCTTCCTTGACTTCCTCCACTCCTAGCTTTTTCCCCAGGGGAGGTGCCCTGTGACTCAGTCCTAGCCAGTAGGCCAAACCCAAAAGTGACATGCAAGTTACATAGTGGTAAGCAGGTGAGCCGTATTCCAATCATGATTACATTGGGGAAGGGCCCTATGTGCCACTTGGATCACTCCCTCTGTCTCCCAAATCACACCACTGCCCATCATCTCCCAGATACCCCCCCCCCCTTGAATGGCCCCTCCGCCTCCATATCAGAGCCCTAGCACCCCAATCAGCCCAAGAGCAGTGGAAGCAGCAGCAATGGGGGGCTCCCCCTCACTGTCTGCTCCTCGGCTCCCAATAGTCCATACCCCTCCCATGTATCCAGATCCAGTTTCTACTGGGCCACACAGCTGCCCACCAGCTCCTTCCCCCCCATCCCCCTTCTCCCCTACTTCAGTTCCAGGACCAAGCAGGGGTTGGATCTGGGCACGCAGCATTGGTGTGTTCTGCAGGGACCCCAGGAGCAGGCAGGGAGAGGGAACCCCTACCACCAGTGCCTCTGTTGCTTTTGGGCTGATTGGGGTGGCATGGAAGTGATCCAGGGGTGGAGGGGATAATTTGGGGATGGGATAAAATTTGGGGGCCAGAGAGGGAAGCTCTCCATGCACCCACCCTTCCTCCTTCCCTCTGCCCATTCTCTCTTCCCTACTTCAATCCTGCCATCCCTCACCTCCTTCCCATGCCCCCCTCCCCTTGGCTCCCCTGCCCTGCTTCAACTCTTTTCCCTCT